AAGCCCTTGCTTATATAAGTTATTTTATGTTGCAGACAATCTAAAGGGTAAGATGTAGCCATGGAGAATATTGGAGCGGATGCGGGCTATGCGTGATAGGAAAACGGGAGAAACGATCATGGGATGAAAGTGTTTAAGGTTAAACAAAGTTTTTACTTTTTACTTTTATTGTTTTGAAACTTCGGTTTATGGTGGTTTTGATTTGAAGAATATTTTGGACTTTATAGATTTTAATAACTAAGTTGAACCGAAGGTTGTTTTATTTTTTCTTTAAGTCGTTCAAAGTAAAGTATTTCAAGTTTAACGATTTTCTGCATTCTTTAAGAGGTAAATGTTTGAAAGTTAAGATAACTGTGACGGTCCGTAAGGGGTCGTTACAGAAGGAGGGGGACAAGTTGACTAAAAATCAATAATTTAGGAGTACTTATAAATTATAAATAGTGTCACATCATTATTTTGTTACTTAGTATTATATATAGAGTGGTGTTTTGAACAATTTCGTATAGTTCAAAGAATGAAATGAACTCTTTTCAAAGTTCGGGGGCAATGTTGAATAGGGCAACAAATTCTGCAGCTAGTTACAACAGATCGTCTGGAGTAACAGAATTAGAGTCAGAATGTGAAGACCAAAAGTCATATCAAGAGATTTATAACAAGATAATAAAAGTCTGCAAACTAAACAAGACCTTCGAAGAGCGCATTGTCAAGCTCACTAAAGAAAAATAGCTGTTAATGGGAGCTGCACCAACTTTGAGTTTCTTGCCAAAAGAAAAGGGCAAAAAATTGTAAGAGACCGCATATGAATTCGAAAACACCCAGAAAATCTTGAAAATGATGAACTCTGGAACGGCCAAGCTAGACCGCCTACTACCTTTGAGAAAATTAAGTGGTGATCATCATGGACTTGACTACAATGGTGGAGAATCATCGAGTTCAAAAATAGTATTTGTAAAATCTTTAACACCCACTGTCATTCCTCAAGCATTCATCAGGTAAGTCCAAGAGGTTTGTTTCTACTTTTCACTCCTGAAATATTAAGGTCATATTAGACCTAGGTGCTTTAAATTATTGAAATCTTTAGAAAGTGGCATGATACCAATTCATTATTTTTCTCAAAACCAAAAAGGAGGCCTAACACCAAAATAGATTTAAAAGATAAATCCTAAGAAAAATTTGGATTAAGAAGTCTGATTTGTGCATGAAAGAAAAATTTGAGCCATATGATGCTTTCAAAAAATTGTGCATGAGATTAAAGGCTGAAAAGCAAGTGGCAAACATATGTATATATATATATATATATATACACACATATATATTTCTAAGGTTCTTGATGCTCCTAAGTTCGAATCACAAAGGAAAGCGCTAGGAATTTGCATGGCTTGATAGGCACATATTAGGTTCACGTTTATTTATTTTGTTTGAAAAAAATGAGAATTAAGCATGAAAAATAGTTGGATGAATATGGATTACTTGAAAAGACTTTATGTTTGTGCATAAACCAATTCTGATTATTTCTTAGGTTTAATGAATTAATTGATTATACGCACTAACAAATTTGAATGTTCAATTGTGACTGTGGATTTTATGGGAATATATACGTGGATGAAGCTAAGGTGAAAGTGAGAAATCATATTGTTGACCACTATCTAAACCAGGCCTCAACTACAAGTTACAGGACTTCATTAACTCAGACACCATTAAGAGAAGGAGCTACATGTGTACAAGTGTGAGAAGCTTTCTTTGAGTAATCATCTGTACAGAGAGAGAAATGCAAGGAAAAAGTTTCTTTTTTTTTTTTTTTTTTTTTTTTATTTAAGGAGAAGAGGAGAATCCCGCCACTTTTAAATAGGGCTCACGGTGACTCGAAATCTCAACTTAACCAACTGTGCTGCCTAAGAAACAAGTTTGACTCAATATGTGAGTATTTTTTAAGCCAAAGCCTAAGATACAGGTTTCATGGATGAAGTAATCAAAATTGAAAATTCTTTGTCACGCAGACACTTTTTTGGACTATTTTGTTATGCTCTTAATAATTTTAGACTACGATTTTTTGTTCAAACTGTGATGATTTGAAAATAATCGATGTTCAAAGACGAAAAATAAATGCTAAATATTCTCACCAAACAGATTTTTATTTTATTTTCATTTAGGTGCATCACACTTATTTTCTGCATTCTAGGTTTTTTTATTTGCAGGCGCATATTGACGTGATACATAACGCATTGTCATAACATTATGATGAAGTTGGGTACATTACTGGGACTTCAGAAATTTTTTCTGCCAATAGTTTTTAAGTCTGGAATGAAAATTTTGGGTTTGAAAATTTGAAGCCTGGAAAGGATGATTAAACTCAATGTGGAGTAATGGCATGCATCAACATCTCGTAATGTTTCATTGGCTTATTGATACGAATCTCCAAATTGAGCTTTCCAGAAACTCAAACCTCCTAAAAGCATAAAAATTAGAGCTGTTCATAAACCCACAAAATCCGCAGACCCAATCCACCACACTCCAACCCAACCCGAAAAATATAATTTCTAGTATTAAATTTTTTTTTCGGCCCATTTAATGTCTGGTCCGAAGTTTTGAGGCGGGATGTGAGTTGAGCCTGCACACCCCAACCCAACCCGCGCTCTAACTTGCCTCCTTTAATATCTAACCCTAGGTAAGCAACTAATTTATACTCTCTAGTTTTTTCATATTTGAATTAAGCATCTACGTTTGCATTATGTTAAGACTAATTTATGAGTGTAGACTCATTTATGTTTGCTTTATGTTTGATGTTGGATGGACTACTTCGCTTCATGTTTGATGTTGGATTGAACTTTGAATTTCTATCTGTTTGAATGTTGGAGTTATTATTTCTATTTGATGATGAACTTTGAATGTTTGATTGAACTTTGAGTCTTTGATTATTTGAATGTTGAAACCGACCACCCAACCCACCCCGCACTGCCCCAAACCAACCCAAACATTATTGGGTTGTGAAATTTTTTTAACATCGTTAGGGCTAAATATGTGCAACCCGCACCTTTTAAAGTGAAAGAAGAAAAAGTCATAACCCGTACCAACCTAACCCATGAACAATCCTAATAAAAATGCCTGAAATATGTATTTTCTTCCCACTTAATTTTATTGTTTTGAATTCCTTCAATAGAGCACAAGATAATCACAATTTAAAATCTAAAAACAGAATTAAAAGCCACTAAATGCACGTACTCATCCCTCAACTACCTAGAAACTCCACTAGCTAAAAAATAGGAACCACTCCATTATCTAATCTAACAACTATTAAAAGAGCGAAACTCTTTCTCTTCAAACTCTTTTATTTTTTATTTTTACTCTTTTTTACTTTTTCTTTATCTTCATTCTTTTTAAAAAAAAAAAAAAATTGAATGTTTTGTTTTTCTTTTTTATTTTGTGAATTTTCTTTGACAGTTTAATTGTTTACGTGTATTTTTTAAAATATATATATTTTTTACTTTACTCCTATTAAACTATTTTTTATAGTGTTCCTAATGTAATTTTTTATCAATGTTAAAATAATTCTCTTCAAATCTATCGATACTTAATTGTCTTCCATGTAATTCCTATCATATCAAAAGTTATATTTATACTTACATTTTTATACTAAATTGTATTCTTTTAATTTACAATTATACAGATCTTTTTCATTGCTAAATGTTTAAAATAGAAAATGAGTATTGTTTTAATTAAAAGTTTAGAAACTTATTTTTGAAATAGATTTAGAAAGCCTTAAATGGTTGTATAAATAAATTTCTCATCATCCGTTAAATAATAAACTTTTAAGTGTTTTTAACACGGGAATACGCGTGAAGCACGTTGCCAAAACAAGTTTATCTAAAAATCTAAACATGTTGACTAATTAAAAACAAAAGGAAAACAAGCAACGTACTAAATACAGAAGATTTGAAGAATTGAAGAAATCAAAAGATTATCTTGAAGAAGGCTAGTTTTAAATCTTAAATTGATAAGATTTAAAATCCTTTAAAAGATTTAAGATATGTTTGAAGTTACCAGGATTGGAATGCGATTTACTTGAAGAATTCAAGCAACAGGCGTATCTGAAGATAGAGCATATTAAATTGGGTAAACGACTTTAAATTAATTGTATTTCAAACTCCAATTCAATATGTTACAACGGATAAACCCTTCTGTTGCAACAGATCAACATAAATCAAGATTATCCAAGATTTGAATCATTTGTACTGCTCTACCTAAATAATCAAATACTGATGCGAATGGTGCGCGTTCCTGGAGTACACTCGCAGATAGTATTGAGCCTCTGATCAGCGTTCTTCGAGAGAAGAAGTTTCGCATCAATTGAAGGGACTCAAATCTCTCATCCAATTTTAATATCTCAATTAGTCTCTAATCAACTACATCACGTCACGTCGTATTGCTTTTTAATTAGCTCTTTTATGATTATCATAAAATGATGTGTGATTTTATTTATTGAACACTAATTAGAACGCTAAAATTTAGACAGAACTATTTAATTATATCACGTCACGTCGTATTGCTTTTTAATTACCTCTTTTATGCTTATCATAGAATGATGTGTGATTTAATTTGTTGAACACTAATTAGAACACTAAAATTTGGACAGGGAATCAAGATGGATAGTGCTTCCTGAACAAGTCCATTGAGTTGATACGACACAAAGATTATTCAATAACTAGGTGTATACCGAACCACTTAAAATTGCCTTAGTTGTCATTAATTCAAGCTTTGGGTCATTTAATTAATTTGACTTCAATTAAATTTGGTAAAGTGCTAAAAAAAAACAGGATCTTTTACGGTTCTATTTTTATTATCCTGGTCATATTTCGTTACTAGTACTGCTGAGTGTTTACGCTTTTAATATTCTACCTGTGAAATGATCCCTTTTCCCCTCCCCAACTGAACAATCAAAATCATCAAAATGGTCAGTTTCTTATCAACAACCAGCCAGAGCGGCCAAGACTTAAGAAAGCAGATTACATTGGAAAAGTGTTATCACGTCTGTATTGACTTTCTATCAAGTATCAACAGATTCAAATCACAAATAATTGGCACCCAAAATATTACAAGATGATCACATCATTGAATGAAAATTACACATTAACCAAAGAAAATCTTGAGAAAAAACTAGACATTAGGCTCCAAGTCATCGTCGATCTCACGCACTGCTTGAAGTGGACCGCTTCCAAAGACAAAGCCACTGTCTGAAAATTTATTCAGAGGGCTATTTCCGAACAAGCATACCTGTGGTTCAATCTGGTTCAAGCGATTCCACTCGTCATCTGATAGAGACCAACTGAAAATGTCTACGTTTTTCCTTATCCTATCAGCCTTAAGACTGCAAGGTAGGACACTGGTTCCTCTCCGAAGCCCCCAGCGTAAAACAACCTACAACAGATGAGATGAATCACACGTCATCTTATTACTATTACCACGGGCAACATTAAAGGTTCTTAGTCTACAACTGATGAAGAAAACATCCGAATGCATGATCAATTCGAAAATGAAATTAATACAACAGAAAATCCAAATATCAAAAGCAAGGGACCACAGTTGAAAATCCAAGAAAATCTGGAATGTTTGTGTGAATGCAATTCTGGGATAAAAGAACCTCTAACTCACAACTGAACACTGTCTTTTGCAAATGATCGTTTCAGAAACTATCTACTACAGGCACACTTGGTAGAGCGAGTATCATTATCATCAATGCTCAGCAGCAATAGTCCACAAAGGAACAAGAACACTAGTAACATAATGTTCAATCCACCAAAAGCCTAGATTTATAAGTGGCAAATGTACAGTTAAGAGTTAATACGTCCTGATCAAGACACCCTATTGTCTTGTTTATATTGTACAACAGAGTTTATATCTTGACTGGCTTGGTTTTGTATGTTTTTCCTAAGTTCTATTGTAACCGGTATTCCGTTAAAATTGGCCACAACAATGGAATGTCAGTTTATTTTGACATTTAGTCATTATCTATATCCAGTAGTATTGTTTATATGCTATTTCAACCTCTTAATTGGCTTGGCAGTTGCTTGCTCCAAGGTTGAGTCCCAGTTCTATCTGTCAATGTATGACACCTATAGACGGTTTTATAATCTCATAACATGTATGATGGCCTGGTTATCCGAGTATGAAACCTCGTTAATCTCAGCAAATTTACCTAGCATTTAGTTTCTGCAAATCCTTTTTTAGATAGGAAACATGTATAAGATGCTAGACCAATAATTTGCTCGTACCAATTCCCCCAAGAAAACCTTGTCAAGAGCAACTCTTCATATCAAAGAAATCTCTAAGGTTCCAAATTTAATTTTCTATTCATGAGCTTCTAAATTAACTATTTCCATCTTCACCTGTCTTTGACTCCAAACACTAGTCTAAAAAGCTAATCCAAAAATGATGCATCAGCAAAAACAGTGAGTTTTAGATATTAAAATGTACAAAAATAAATTACAATGCTTTTAGAATCCCATGAAATAGAACAGATCTCTTACGTTTTAAATAATGATGCATCAGCAAAAACAGTGACTTTTAGATATGAAAATGTACAAAAATAAATTATAATGCTTTTAGAATCCCATGAAATAGAACAGATCTCTTACGTTTTAAATAACTTAGGATGGAAATCAACAGCTAAGTTATCTAATGAATGGCATCAGTCTTCAACCTCGAAGTTTTATAATCAAAGACCATTCTGTACTGCCCTATCCTTAAGACCTTATCTATAATCTTACTAATCCCATTCTACTATAACTTTCGGTAATTAGTCTAAGTCGATAACCCTGATTTAGAATTAGGAACGAACATCCTGCACTCCATAAGCAGTTCCAGTCACTCATGAAGCCAAATTGATGTATTTATCCAAAATAGTTCACGTATATCCCAATCTGGATCAGTTTCCATCTTCTGTATTTCTAACAGAACTTCCAAGTGTATTACAGACCTTCGCACTTTGAGAGCACTACACAAACTAACCTACTGGAGGTGATGGTCCTTGGAGAATCAGTAAATCCAAATGCAAGGCTAGACTTTGAGACGATATTTTGCAAGCTGTGAAAATTTAGAAATTTGCATTTTTGCTGAAGTTTTTACCAAACCTGTTAGGCTGCTATGACGTAGAGGATTTCAAAGGCACCAAAGATGGCGGGGTGGAGTCAGATGCCCAACCACTAAATCCTCATGATTCTTTATCTTCCATGATTAAATCAGTACAATGCACATGAACATTAGGATGATATGCTGAACCAATACTTTCACTATTTATGCTTTTTCTTTAATGAAATTTTGATGTTACAGGTGCTTAATTCCTTTGATTCTTATAGCAAACTTATATGTTGAAAGTGTCATGCAGTAGAAATTCCAATTAGTGTATAATTTCACAAAATTAAGGAAATCAGCTATTAAGGAAAGACATGGGAAGAAACTAGACTTGTGATCCAAAAGATGACTACCATTCAATAGGAAATAGGATAGAGTACATAGTCTAGAACGCGAAAGTGATTTAGGGAATTCATTTTTACTGTTGAGTCTGTTTCGCTTTAGTTCTTAGTACATCATTTCATTTTCTTTTTCGTTTATTTTCATTTGGATGTGAGGATACTTTATCCTCTTGTACCCATAATTGATTTTCATATTGATATAGGTGTTTTTCCAGAAGCATTGAGTTGAGAGTGAGAGTGCGAAAGTGATTTAGGGAATTCATTTTTACTGTTGAGTCTGTTTCGCTTTAGTTCTTAGTACATCATTTCGTTTTCTTTTTCGTTTATTTTCATTTGGATGTGAGGATACTTTATCCTCTTGTACCCATAATTGATATTCATATTGATATAGGTGTTTTTCCAGAAGCATTGAGTTGAGAGTGAGAGATTACTGGCATTCAGTCGAGTTTTTAAGTGTGTAATGGACATTCAGCCGATCAAAGCTTTTACATATATCCTACATGAAATCCAACTCCACCCAATATTGAACATAAGAAGGGGACAACCGATAGTCTAAATGCAATTGTCTTAACTTGGGTGTACACAATCAGGAAAATTATGAGAACTGTCATCGTATCTAAGCTGACACGTAGTTTAAGTTTGAAGAAAATAACTTTTTGCAACCATGTAGTTAAACAAAACAACCTTTTTTTTTCTTTTTCTTTTTTATTCTCTTTGATGGTAGGTTATAGCTTATGAGCAGTAAAGAAAAGTTTTTTGGGATGGGGACTGTTATAGTTGCAAAGTTTTTGAGTTTTAGGCAACTTTAAAAGGACGCAGTAAGCTTAACTATAGTTAAGTACATCACACAATTATAGCAAATTAACATTTACGTAAAATTGTAATATGAGGTATAGTAGCTCGGAAAAGATTACATGTTTATTCAATAATATAGAGTAAGACTGATGCACGGAAACATGAAGAGATTGAAAATAATAGAAACAAAAGTCATTCATTCTAAAGAACGTAGAGAACTGCACACAAAAGTTTGAGGAAAACTCGGAAATAGAAAACTATCATTAGTGGAGAAAAAAAAAGCCCTGAAAACTGAAAACAAACTTAGCATAAAGTACTTTTAAAGAAAGCAAAAGCAAATCTCAATCAAAAGAAGATCTAATTCCTAAAACAAAGATAATTCTAAACATATCAAAAGTTCAAAAATAAACAATCCTAAAGGTTAGATAAAAATTCATCTGAAACTTCCACTCTAATCCTAGTCATCAACAGCATCAAAGACAAAGATTGATGATATTGAACAAAATGAGCAAGAAAAGGTTAGCTTAAGTATACCTGCTCTGGTGTTTTCTTGTGTCTGTCTGCAATCTTTGCAACAACTGACAATTTCAGCATTGGCCCATGAACAGATCTTGACCTTCGGAATGATATACGGGGAGTTCCAGGTTCGTCCTCCCCACCAGAACTGCTATCAGATGGTCCAGGAGCTGAAGCAGGTACTCCCAACGGTGTGTGAGCCGATACATGTATACCCTTTAGCTGGCAGAACTTTACAAGTTCATCTTGCCTCCAGAAAGGATGCAACTCCACCTAAGAAAAGATTATCCGAATTCATTAGATAGTTGTATAAGGATGGTAGAGGAAAAGCTAAAAGAGCCTAAGCTGCTGGCATGCAGTGATTGAGGGAGAGTCAAGTAAGTTCTTTTCACCATATCATTATCAGTTCAACGAGGACCAAAAAATAAATAAATAAACAAAAAATAAGAAGATGGAGTAATAAAACCGAGCGTGAACCATTTAAATTTGGAACTAATTTTTGCATCATTGTTAAGTTTCTGGATCAAAATTAGTCAAAAAGAAATGGTGAGGCCTAAGAGGGCACAGTTCATTACCAGGACAGTTAATCTCTTTTAAATGAAAAATACTCCCCTAAAAAATTTAGAGCCAACTTCAACATTCCTAAAGGGATATTTGGAAGAGCAAAATTCTTTGTTTCTATGATAGAGAGCTTTATGTTCTACAAAAACACAGGTAAGCCACCAGGCAAGAGGCACGTTGTGCTCAGATTGCACAGGACCCTATTCATTGGCCACTTAAAAGATGAGTTGACCAACTCCAAATTATCAAAAAGGGTTCCTCTAAACCCAACTACGTTTCCTCCACCCGAGAGAAGATCCTAATTACTGAAAATCTATCTAAGCAGGTTATGAATTAACCGTTTCAGCATCCGCTTAATTACATCCAACTGATGGATCCTATTCAACTTTTTCTGCGGATTTTCAACATTGTAATGCATCGAACCCTGTAGTCTACAAGTCAACTTACCGGGAGATAGTTTCTCCAGGACAAATAAGGTGTAGATATGACTAATTCTAAAAACTTATCTTGTCCAGTTTTCATACTATCCTTACGACAAAAAATTTTATAATCAAAATTCCGCAATTTGCATCTAGCAACGTTCGACATACGACTTAAATGGAGAAAAATAAAATTACAACAATAATCATGCCAAATCTGTCGAATTATGGCAAATAAGGTAACAGTTACGTACCTGATTAACTGCAGGCACAACCTTGGCAAACTTAAGCAACTCCTTGATCTGCTGAACACTGAAATTGCTGACTCCAATAGCCCTTACAAGACCAAGCTCAACCAGACCTTCCATGGCTTTCCATGCCTTCTTCAACCGATTCAAGAACTGCCTATACTCGCTTCCAGACTTGATTGGAGGATCTGTGGCATCGCCGAACGCCGAACTCTCCGGCCAGTGCATCAAATACAGATCCAAATACGAAACCCCAAGGTTCTTGAGAGACACTCTAACATAATTCTCAATCTTATTCAATGAGTTCATTGTACAATACAACTTAGAAGTCAAGAAAACATCTTCCCTTTTGAGTGATCCTCCATTGAATGCTTGGGACAAAGCTTCCCCAACTTCAACCTCGTTCCCATAAAGATGTGCACAGTCTATGTGACGATATCCCACTGACAATGCCGTTTTCACGGCTTCAACACAGAGGTCTCCGCCGCTCTGCCATGTCCCAAGCCCAATGGCCGGGATTCTCGCTCCTGTGTTCAACACAAAGTGATTCCCTGGCGTCCCAAGTTTTCCTTTCATCTTTGCAAAAACTTCTCCGGAAAACTTCAAAACCCAACAGAAACAACGTAGACCCACGATTTTAGGAACTGGGTAAATGATATTTTGCAAGTCAATCAAAAACCCATTTGATTAAAAGATCACTTTTCCCACTAAATACAACTACCACTTTGACTAAGAAGTTTTGCCCACCATCTGTTTGTCAAGAATCTTCAAAGAACCGTCGTCATATTATTTGATCAGCAACGAAAGAAACAACCCCGGATTGAGGAAGTTGGTAGTTTTTTTTTTTTTTTTTTTTTTTAAGTATATTTCAACGTTTTGTACCTAGATAAATCAAATAAATTACATTCAAAGGGTGTGACATGGTCAACAACGGCAGCAAAGACAGAGAGAGAAGAAAGCTTAGCTGTAAAGATCAATCTGTTTCTCGCATCAGCCATCACGAATGCAAAAGACAAGTTTGTATCGACTTAAAAAAAGAAACTAAAAAGACAAATAAGGCAAGGTTAATAATAATATATTAGTATGAATTTGTCAATTATCTAGAAGGAAGAAAAGGAAAAATTGGAAGAAAAAGATGGGCGACGAGAAAGAAAATAGCATTAAAGATGAAAGGGAAGGAAATACAATTTAAAATTTCAAAGTCATGGACCCAACGAAGGGTCGTCTAAATCCACCTACCAACCACCCAACTTAACAAAGACATTTTTCATTGACATTGGCGATGGACCTTTCATGCTATGCATCGCCATTTTGCAAAGGGACATCCAATTATTGAGCTAAAAATAAATAAAAAACAAAAGGAGCACATGATTATCAAGGAAAAAAAAAAAAAACATATCTAGTAAGTTTTATGAGTCACAAACTAACCGTGCGGATGATTGTATTGGTTGCTGTAACGTTGGGGGAAATGTATTGACTATTGAAAAATGTTATAAGATAACGGTGCTGCTACATAATGTCTCGTCTTATGAGGTCTATATTTATTAGAGACGATGTTAAGCATTGTTAGTATTCTAAGCATTTTTCTTGACTATAGACTTGGGGTCTTTCTATGATAGGGTCTTATTTGGGTATTGTTTGTTTCAGACTATTTATTAGGTAGAATATTTAATTTTTAATTCAGATCTAACGGTTGAAAAACATAAACTTATCGGTAGTTTGGTTTTTTAAATCCTACCATAAGGATATTCTAAGACTTATATAAAAATTGGACCTTAAACTTTTCAAATTTTAGCATTTCAGACTTTGATTGTCATTCATTAATTGACGTTTGTTATTGATTGGTCAGCATTGTAAGTATTGTAAAGTTTAGGATCCTAAATGCTAATGAAGATAAGTTTAGGGTGTATGAATGCAAATGGCAATAAGTTTAGGGAGCACGAATGTATTTTACTTTAACATTTCAGTTGATGTAAAGTGATATCATTTGAGTGACATAAAAATAAATAAAAATAAAAAATCATTTTAGTTTATGTGACATGACATTTTAGTGCATTTTAAGAACAAGTAAACATTATCTCTCGTTTATTTCACGGATTTGAGTTTTCAATTCGAGTTGAGACGTGACATTTTTTAATAACTTTTCACTGTAGTAAAAACAAGTTAGATGTGACATTTTCTGAGAACTTTTTACTGTAAAAACTTAAAACTGAAAACTCGAATCGGTGAAATGAACAAGGAGTATGTGTCATCATTCGCAACTTTTATAAAGAAAGAAAGACGAGATTAATTGCACTGGTGCTCATTAACATATCATGACCCTACGTTTGAAAATTTGTTGTAATTTTGGTCTAAACAAACAAATGTTAATTAATGGATGAAAATTGCCAAATGTTTGCATACTAAATCAACCCAAACTTTAATTTGGTTGGCAAGTTAGGTAATAAACTATTTAAAATTTGACATTTCGGATTTTAATTGTCAATCAATTAATTGAGGTCTATTTTTTATTGGATTGTATTGTCAAGAATTATAAAAATTAAAATTCTAAATGGCAACATTTAAAAGTTTAGAGTACAACATGCAAATGAAGATAAATTCAAAGCGGAAGGAATGTAGATACACTATTTTATTTTATTTTATTTTAGCAACAACAAAAAAAAAAAAAATACGTAGGTCTCGTTTATTTTATCGATTTGCGTTTTTAATTTTAATTTTATTACAGTTAAAAGTTTTAAGAAAAAATCACATCTAACTTTTTTTGTTACAATTAAAAACTCTTACATAAAGTCACATCTCAACTCAAATTAAAAACTCAAATAAGTGAACTGAACGAAGTCGTAGTCTGTAACAACGATGAAAATATCAGTAACATTAGAAATATTAGTATTCTTATATTTACAAAATTTTGAGAAAAAATATGGATATTGTTTGAAAAAAAAATCAAAACTACAGAAAGATAGCATAAACAGATAAATTAATAAATTAATAAAATATTTAAAAGAAAAATTTATATCATAATTTAAATTATAATTCATAATTTATTATAATATTTTTTAAAAATAATTATATATAAATTAAAAACAATTTTAAATCATAATTTTGAACGTACTAGTTTTACCTTACTGTATCGATAGTCACAACAGCTCTGATCAGTGAGTCAGTGACCACCTTCCCTTTCAATCTGCCATAGCTTCCTTGGTACACGCTCTTGCAAATAATGTTTTTTTTTTTTTCAATCACAAGTGAAAATTACGTTTGTTTATGTTCGCGTCTGGCAGAGATGGTAAAGAATCAGTTTTGGGGATGGGGATTTATCACAATCGGCTCCGTTTTCTTTCTGGGTTTCGTTTATTCCGCCACATTTTCTAAGTTTCTTCCTTCTTCAAGTAACCCCATAATCTCCGCTCTCCAAAAAGACTGGTAAGTTTTGAGGATCTTCTCTTCTCTTCTCAAATCCATTATTTTTCCCCATAGTTTTCTATTTTTAGCATCCCATTTTCAAGTAAATTCACATATTCAATGCTTGCATTTTGGCATTTCCTTGTTATGTATTTATTTTCTCAGTTGCTGAGGTTTGGGTTGTATAAATGATTAGGATTTGAAAGCATTAGAAATAAGATCTTTAGGAAGAGGAAATTCATAGGGTGTCTTGAGTTAGAGAAACAATATTTGGGCTGACAAATTACATAACTTTGGTCCTAACTTATAGTTATTTTGAGCACCCAATTCAGTTGTTGATGATATATCCGAAGATGCAAAATCTTTTATCTCCATTTTCACTCCTTGTCTTTCCTGGTATGAGCTGTTATATGCCTTTCTCCAACTTAATTGCCAATGAATAGTGTCTGGTATATGAACTTTATGATATCATATATATAGAATTTTGTAGTCTACTTGCGAATATAACTGGTTCTCCTTGTTGACAATTATTTTCGTGTGTTATTCTGTCATATGCAATTGGAAATATTGAAGTCGTTTGTTCTGATTCTTGGGCTCTGGGCTTTTCCGCTGGAACAGGTATTATTGCTTTTTGGTGCCTTTGACACTCCCTGTCCTTGCGGTTGCTGTATACTTCCATTGGCTTAGCATGAAATTATTCAAACACGCTTGATTTTTCTTCAATCTTTGAGAAAATTTGTCACTTCTTAGATGTTAACGGCAAAGTTCGTCAACCTCAGAAGAACTGAACTCTAGTTAAGATCGAATTGGAAAATATTGAACAGCCACGAACACAAAAAAGTTCAAATTAAAGTACAGAGAAAGACACAAGAATATAGAGTGGTTCAGTTCAATGTAGCATGCATCCACTTTGGTTTTGATCCTTTTCATTGAATTTTTCGGGTTACAGACCCAAAACGCTCATTTACAAAGTAATCTCAAAGCAGTGTAAATGTGAAAGATAGTCTTGTAGAAGAATAAAAGTCTCAATCCCTCCTCATTCCTAACCTCCTATTTATAGATAGGAGTCTCATATCTTATTGTTGGTAATTGATAGACTGATTAGAACCATGTCCCTTCATTTTCGGATGCTTATCCCACCATATTCTCCTTGTCTCGAGATCGTGGATATCATGTTTCGGTACCCGGAGACTGTGTGATCATGGTTGTGTGGATGGTTACTCCGTATAGTTCTGGCAATCATTGGATCATGGTTGAAGTGGGCTCTGCTGCAGAAGCTTGAAAAGGAAACAATAAGTGTAAAGGGGGACCTTGGGGACAGCTCGCTCCACGGATACAGAGACAATGTGTTATCCATGTACAAGGGGGCATTCATCCTTAAATCTTAGGGTCATGAGGGATAGCTTGCCATATTGCTCTTATTAGTCCTTATATGCCTATAAGCGCGCCATGTCGCCCATATTGGTCGCAATGTGCCACCAATATGCTTAGTTGCTGACCGTGGGCTGGTTGCTTTGCTGATATTGACCGTAATTTGCAACCGATATGTTTATATAGGGCTAGTTGCTGCTCATGTTGCTGAGTATGGCTCCCCATAGGAGCTATTCATGGATGCCATGAGTAGCCTGCTATGCGAGCTATCGTTAGCCTTTGGGAATAGCTCGACGGCGATGCATTCTTAGTATTGGGGGGTTGTTTGCGTAGCTATCTGTGTACTCTGGGTAGCGAGCTATCCAGGACAAGGGATAGCTTGCATATGGTAAGCTATCTCGTTTGAGAAGGAATCTTAGTGGCTGAAATAGGTAGCTATGGTGAGCTATCTTGTGGGAGGAGGGTAACTAGCCATTAGAGAGTTATCTAAGTAGTCGAAATAGTTGGTTATCTGATAAGGAGAATCGACACGGATTTTGGACCATAGTTGTATGGTAGGAGTAAAAATGGGAAGGATTTCAAATCCTTTAAAAAAAAAACCCCACCTTTTAAGCTCTTAATATGGAGGGATCTGAAGGACCAAACACAATAAAACTTTATTTATTTTACCAATTCGAGTTTTTAATTTTAGATTTCTACAGTTAAAAATTCTAAAAAAATATCACATTCTCTAAAAAAATATTACATCTCAATTCGAATTGAAAATTCAAATCCGTAAAGCGAACGAGACTTAAGAGAAACTTAAGAGAAACGTCTTCCTCGTTCTTTCCATTTTACTTCTCTTGTTATATAATATATACCTTTCTTTACTCCTTATCAAAAGCTATGTCTAGAGTTATATACCTACCTTTCTTTCCCTCTTATCAATATTCATTTATTAACCCTTCTCTGTATTGGAATTACAAGAAGTACCAAATTTATAGGCAAACCAAATAGCAAAATAGGAAACTAAAGCCAAAGCAAATTAAGAAAATTACCAGAACGAAATAAGGAAACTGATAACGGGAAATTAACCAGCCCCGTTTATAGAATAGCTTAAATTTCTAATTAAATAAAAATTAATGCTATTAGGAAACTAAAGCCAAAGCAAATTAAGAAAATTACCAGAACGAAATAAGGAAACTGATAACGGGAAATTAACCAACCCCGTTTATAGAATAGCTTAAATTTCTAATTAAATAAAAATTAATGCTACATTTTTTCGTAATTTGAACTACAGTTTAGACCTATTTATTACAATGGTATCCCATAAAAATTCAATTCAAACTCGTGAACCAAACGGCTTAATTCTGCATCACATGCTCTAGTGACAAATCAAATTCCCCCACCACATTGAGGCATAAAATTCAAATTACCTACCTGGAGGATTTTTTTTTTCGGGAAAAAAAAGGAATTGTAATAATAGGCGACAATAATTGTGGTGCAAACATACTTCATACGTTACAATGTCTTTATTTGTTTGCTTATTAAGTACATGATCATAAATAAAACACACGCACATGAGACTCATACAAACACGACGCCGTCCCATTCCAGCCTTTATTCCTCGTTAGTCATCACCATTCTTTTTTCAGACTATACTACTTCAGAGCTCCAGACTTTACCATCTCAGCTTTGCAGGGAAATACTGCAATAACATAGTCAAAATGAGTAACAAAAAATGGTAATCTATGATGAACAACAAAAATATTTCACTTAGATCTTAAACATAAATATGATTCCAAAAAAATTCCTCATTTCCCTTCATTGTCATGTCTTGAACGAAAAACAAACAAAAAACAGTCATTACCTTCTCAATGAGGGAGAGATAATATGGCTTAACTTTCTCAACATCAACCCTAACTTTGCTCTTACTGTAAAGGTCATATTTGCTGCAAAATAAAAATAAAAATAAAAATAAATAATAAGAGCAAAATTTTAAACCCTTGTAATTATAATCGAATATTGCTCGATTCTCAATCAACTGAATTACTATGCTTACTTGAATATTTTCAGCCACTTCAGATTATCCATATCCTCTTCATTCATCAAGTGTTTGTAGGCTCCTGCCTTGTGCAAAGCTGCAACACAGTTTAGGTCCACAATTACGCACAAGTGAGAACAAAAATGGCAGTGCAAGTAGAATTGTATCATCAAAATAAATAAAAATTACAAAATGAATAAATTGAATTACACGTCTTACCATAAAATGAGTGGTATCTGATAATGAAAAGACCAGCCGAAGGAAGAGTGGTTTTGTTTTCCGTGGCAACCTAGAGATGACACCCAAATAAAATTATCACAAAATCATGGTAGCATCTCGGACATTACAGATACTATGATCATTTAGATCTTCCATCATCAAACAATGAAGCCATTTCCTTGCCCTTCTTTTTTTAAAGATAAATTTGCAACGATATGGAATTTGGAAATTATAAGGCGTAAAGAGATCTGATAAGCATTTACCAAATACATGTAATCGTCATGCCCCCATGACATCATCACATTGTCCAGTCCACAGCCTTCAGAATAAACTCCATATTTAGTGTTGAAAGAAGGATTCGAATTATCGGGGTTTCTCTTGAAATACTGAAAGGAAAAACACATAATGTCAAACACGCCGGAGAGAAAAAGCTCAGATTTTAAATAGGTAGCAATGATAAAAATTTTAGACACCTTATGATGAACAATTGACTCGTCAAATGCGCATCCAACTGGAAATGTGTCGCCTGCAATTATGAAAAGCATTAGTTTCAGGCATATAATAGAACATGTACATTTACCAAAGATATACGACCACCGGTTATTGGGTGGGGTGGTAAGGCTACTCATTTTCCTTAACAAGCTCTTAGGTTTGAGTCAGTCCCACTGAGACTAGGAAGGGTATATGGACAATCTACCCTATCTATAATTCCTTTTTTCTTTAACAAAAACTATAATTACCGAAGATTTACTAGGTGAAATGTGTAAAAGGGAAAGAAATGCTCACCAACAACAGCCCATTGAGGAAGCCCCCCAAAAGCAGGAAGATTGAGAACCTTTCCAAGATCTGAGATTCAACCAAAATTAAGCTTATTCGACATTTTTTGAGTATGCCAAATATCAACACCAGCCAAACTAAACATACAAATAAATGGGATAAAAAGATACCATGAATAAGGCCAGTCAAATGTAGCCAGTCCTCATTAGGATAGTCCTTTCTGATGGCTTCAGCAGTCTGCAGTAGGTGCTCGATCTGAGGCTCATCCAAGTCCGGATCACTCTCGTCAACGACATTGTTGAGAAGTTCACAGCATTCCCATATGCTCATCTCCATCCCGTTCAGCTTGCCATACTCTTCTCTCATCTGCTTTACCTGCAGTTATACCAAATTAACTAGTGTATTAGAAGATAAAACAATCATAAAAATCATTAGCATATACGGACTATGCCAAATTGACTAGTAAATTAGAGGATACACAATCATATCATTAGCATATACAAATCATACCGAATTAATTAGTTTATTTAATTAGTATATTAGATGGTATACAATCATAAAAATCATTAGCATATAAAGACTATACTAATTATTTAGAATATTGGAAGATAATCAAAATCATTAAAATCAGTAGCATAAACAGAAAAATTTGAAGCTTAGTTGCAGCCTCCTTACAAAATCATAAGTCTGGTTGATGTGATTAATTCGGTAGAATTCCTCAACCCCAAAACTTCTCTCACTTTCCACATGATAATCCCTGCATTCACAAATCTTGGGTAAGTAAATAAGAACAGAAAAATCAAACAAAAAATAAGATATGAAAGGGGAAAAAAAAATTAACAAATGAAATTTTTTTTTTTTCAGAAAACAAATGTAAAAATAAAAATCTTTAAAAAAAAAAAAAAAAAAAAGCCTAGATTCAATCATGATAGGATAGTTGCTGGAAAAAAAAAAGACTAATTTTGTAGGATAAAAAGAGAATAGAAAAAAATAAAGATCAAACATTTAATACAAATGTTATGGCGGAATAAACGAATATTCTATAAAATCTGCCCCAAGTAGTGAACTTGATGATCAACTATGGACGAATTCCCAAATGCCGACAGTTTTACTCTCTTTTTGTTCTTCTTTCAACTCTTTAATCATCACATAACAAACAAACAATATAACCCTCCAGGAAAAAAAAAAA